CAGCGGAGAAATTACAACGACTGCAACGAGAAGCGCGAGCTTCATTAATAATCACTCGGGTCTCTAAAAGTACGATCAGATTATCTGCATCTCTTTTAGAATGAATAAATGACACGCACCGTTATAGAAAGAGATTGTTAATTTTTACTATCAGTCGTCAAGCCAAAGAGTTGAGGGTGAATCAAGTTTTTAACGCGGAGTCAAAGAAAGCAGACTGCAGCGAGCAGAAAAGCCGGGGCCCGAGTGCAACAATGAACGTCGGGGAACAACCGCCAAGGGAGAATTCCGCGCGTCTGCGTTTCACGCGAAACGAGAAAAAGGCGCGTGTGCGCGATAATTCCCGTAGGAACTCGCTCGCTCGCAAGACGCGGCGGTAACCGCGCGGAATGGAAAAAAGAAAAAAAAAGAAAAAAAAATAAAACTGTCGGAATTAGAGTCGTGGCAAGTTCGCGCGGGAATATTTGATGAAACTGTGAGAGCCACGCGCGGCAACTTCGCGCCAGGGAAAACAATGCGGCGGGTAACGAAGCGCGCGGCTGCAACTTTCCGAATCAATTTTATAAGCCGACGTGTGCTCGAGCAGCGAGCGAGAAACGCGATAGAAACGCTCGGTGCGATAGAATATATATTTGTTCGAAACGCGAGAGAAGCGTCCATCTTCTTTACTCGCAAAAGATTGTCGATCGGTAGAACTCCGATTGAATCTGTCTGTTTACTCTTATTAATGAATGGGCATTTGACGGTGAGGAGGATAATTGCATGGTTGTGAAATAAATGTAAAGTAATTACAATAGCGTAACAATTGCAATTGTATCATAAAGTTACAACTGTGCAGTCTAGAAATTTTGTTAGGCACGATAAATGCTGAATATTAAAGATAAGAAACAAATTAGTAAAAATGTGATACTAGAATAAATATAAGTATTGTATTTATATTTCCGAGTAGAGTTGCATCAAACGTAAAGCATAGAATTATTTTGAAATTGTAAAATGAATATATATTGGTATAATTTGTACGTATAGGTTCTTTTATATATGTTTGTCGTTTCTAAAATAAATATTCGATAAAAGGAAAATCTAACGTAAATAGAGAAGAAATATATCATTGAGTCAAATCAGAGAACGAGAGTAATTATATAAAACATATCTTTTATATCCTTCATTGGTTATTATTTACTAGAATGACTTAGAACGCAAAGATATTCGACAAGAGATAAATAATAACTTGACTTATCTAGAGATAAATAATAACTTGACTTATCTAGAGAAATATTAATGTGAAAATATGCATTGGCAAAAATATAATAACAGAGTAACACATAACATACTAATATTAATACATAAGTAATATCAGACACTATACCTGCTTCAATGAAATACTAAAATAACCGTAATAAAACCTGAATTATTCAATAAAAGAGGAATCCAGTGGAAAAATTTGCTTTACGTACGATATAAAGCGAAACATATTACAGAGTGAAATCTGACATCCGACTCGGCCACCACCAATGTCAGTACGAAACTATCTCTGGGCCGTGTAATGCCGCGCGTAAAAACAGATATCGCTCTGATATTAAAAAAATTTTAATTTCCAGAGAGAAAGAGAGAGAGAGAGAGAGAGAGAGCGAGATTTAATTTGTCGGGGCGATAGCCCCGGCTATTTCAGGGACCGCGGAAAAATTGAAGCAGACGCCAGGACAGTTACACTCAGTTCGCATCACGAAAGAAAGCGTTCCTTTGGTCGTGTCTCCGTGGAAATGCAACACGACAGTACGAGGAATCTTCATGCACGTATGTATAGTGTGTTCAACGCTGGAACTACTCGAGTATAAAAATTGAGTCAAAGAAATTAGAATGCAAGAAGTAGATGAAATGCAAGAACTTTTATTCATTTTACAAAAATCATTCGAACCTTTAAAAAAATGCAAAATTATTCTAAAAAATTATAAGTTGGTCATTTCAAGAGACACGTTCCTCGCAGTCTCATGTTTCACGATCGACCAAACATGTTCCAAATCCTATCAAACGAGCCAAATCCAATTGACAACTGTCAAACATCCGACAAAAGTGCACGTTTGGGACTGTTTTAACGTTCGCGGGTTTGGGCATTTTACAATCGGGACGCCTGGATGACGATCAAATTGTACAAAAGGATTTCAAGACTTTTAAAAGTTTGCGAAACACCGGTTCAACGAAGGGAACCAGTCTTTGGTACTTCGAGTCGCGTTTGCATGCAGTGGAAAGAAGAAAATGTTTGGTCAATCACGAAGACACACACGTGTTTTAACAACGAAAAGTCCAACTCGTCGAGTTCGAGAAAATAGAGAAGTCTTTGCCTGACTCGTATGCTGAGAAGTCCAAGTAATAATCGCTAGTGACGCAGTGATTGGACACGCTATTAATCGTAATAGCATTTTAGGTGCAAAATTTTTTACAAAAAGGATGTTCTTTTCAGAGAAATCGTCCACGTTCATGTGAAACGCACGCGGAGCAACGAAGAAAGCACAAGTCGACATTCGACAACTCCCTCAGGCAGGACTATGCTCAGGCAAGCCGAAACAAGCGTAAACGAAGGAAAGAGAGAGAGCTTGCTCCTTTGAGCCCCGAATTGGAACAATGGAAGCTAGTTAACTTCAAACGAATATTCGATAGGATTCGAGCGAGGGAATGGGAGAAAAATATTAAGAGGACTCCATTGACGTACGTTGATACACCAAAACAATGAAGAGTGTGTGTATAACTTTCGTCGCACAACGCTCTCCTATTCTCTCGGTGGCTCTCGCAGGACTGAGAGAGAATTGAGCAAGATGAAACAAGAGGTAGAAGGGACCGGGTTATTGACATTCAGTTTCGGAGCTACGATTCGATGGGATAAAAACGATTAGCGCGTGGTGTTTCTCTTATCGAATTCGCGATATGACATCTCCTTTTTAACGTTACGTGATCGTCATTCGATGAGAGGTTCGTACGAACATTGAATGGGAAAAACACATGTGCGACATTTTAACGTGAATCATAATAAACACGTGTTATGAATCTACAAGTTTAGAAATGTTTAGTCAATGTATTTTATGGGTAGAAACAGGACAACTAAAATATTGTGCAGTAAAAGTGCTTCGTTAAAAATATGAGATGCAACAAATATGTTAACCCCTTTTCAGTCCTGCATTTGAACACTAAATCTTTGAACATTCAATATGATTGAATGATGATCACATAGTTCTAGCGAGTCTAATATCCAATCTATTGTATGTGGATGACAATTTCGTTTCAAAGAGTTTTGCTATATTTTATTCAAAAGAAACCGAATATTTTCATTTCCCTTCAACTATGAATGAAAATAGAAATCGCAAAGATTTCATGCTCTTTCTCTCAGTCTGTTACAGGATATATAATTTATATTTTCTCTATGTATGATTTTATTGATTGAGAAAGTCTACTTATGACGGATTCAACAATAAAAATATCTGCACGAGACGAATCGATCATTTTACAAAACACGATGATAAATTCAAATAACACGTCGATATCAACTTTGAATTGATAAAGAGAGATGACCACTTTGAAATACACGAATTAATATGTACAGTGCTGCTTCATATTTTTGTTACGATACATTATACTTCGATTTCATTTCTACAATATAGAACGCACTGTCATTTGAACGGTAAATCTTTGGATGTGCTCTGTACGTACAGAAATGGACAGAATGAACAAAAGATTTATAGAACGCGTACCGTGGCTTGTGAAATGTGACGTTATTAAATTTTTGTCAGACGAATCGCGCATGGTAATGTATAATTTAAACTGAAACGAAATTACAGCTCGTTTCCGGGAACTTGCCGTAGCCACTGTATTTATTCGAAATTCTCGAACAGGAAAAGGCGTGTAACAAAACGTGGAACAACTATTACGAAACGGTAACTAATATTTTGATACATTCATCGAAATGATGGAAAACTTACCGTCTTTTTTTCTTTTTTTTTTTTCCCCCAACCAATATTCGTATAACAACTTAATATTTCCGTATTACATAAATGTCTACGTTTTTTCATCATTGAGAAGAATAAACTATTCGCTAATCATTCGCGTCTGTTTTTAGCAAATATTTGATCCACAGCGGGAATTAAAATTTCCGTCTTTTAATTTTAACACAAATACGTATGTACATTTTTTCGCTAAAAAATGTAAAGTTAGACAAAGGATTCTTTCTCTCCCCCCCCCTTTTTTATTAAATATTTTCCACAACATAAATAAACAGTGTATTGTAGAAAATATTGTAAATACTAAAAGTGAAAAATTTTGTTCTTTTTTTATTGAGAAATGGTCAAGAAGAACAGCGTAGTATACGACATAAATAAAATTCTATTAATTAATAGTACTGATATTTATAATGAATTAACTAAGAGATCTACTAAGAGATAAATGCCATTCAAGAGTACTTGTCGAAAACAGTGCAATATTTAGAACATATAAATAAATAAATAAATGAAACATAGCAAACAATCTTACGTTCACAAATTTAACTCTCAAATAATATAGTTAGATAAGATAGAATCTGCAATAATTTATGAAATTTTAACTTACTAAAATTTTCGGTATTTAACCTCACTTTGTGTTTTATCGTTACATCCTCTCGGAATAAAGTCTGAGAAACTCTAGAATTGATTAATGCAATTGCTATGATTTTCAATCTCACGTTTAATGATACGAGTTAGGAATCAAATAAATGGCACATTCGAGGTTCTCTACAAATTTCCTTTCTCGCAAATTTTACTTCTTTGATTACATTTACGTAAAAGCCAGAAAATTTCACGAAACATTGGACTTCTAACAATGTCACTGTTTTCTAGAAACACTCTTCAACTACTTTAAATATTAAAAAAAAAAAAAGACGAGCCAGTGATTCACGTTCATATTCGCGCCACGAGTCGAGGAAGAATTCGACGAGGTGAATGTTCATTTCGTCCTAAAAACGGCGCTGATGCTTACCAATTACAGTCGAGGAAGGGGAAAAATGGACATTCGCACGTTGCACGAAATTGCGGGCGTCGTTGTTTGACGACAAATGGCAAACCGTGTAAAGGTTAGATGGAAAACAGTGCCAAACGAGCCGATTGCGGCCATCGGTTCACGTATCCCCTTGAAAGTTGGAACGGCAACTTGGCTATTACCTTTGATGCTCGTACACCCGGAGGATCTCGGGCTCTGTATCATACGTTTACCCTTCTGTGTACATGTATCAACATGCCCGATCAGATAGCCCAGGGTAAATACATCGAGGGAGGAAGGCAGAAGAGAAGCTTCGCAGTCGTCGAACAACTAGTTTCGGGACGGTTCCAAGATTGGAAATAGATCCGGAATAAAGGTCAATCGGTTGGCGAACGGAATGGTAAGTTATTGCCTGCCGTCCGAGCGAGCCAGCGGCGGCTTTGAATTGCAAAAAATTCCGGCGGATTGAAAATGAAAATCAAGGGAAACGGAAGTGGGACGATCGTCTTGCGACAACGAATGAAATAAGAGGCAATACGGCGCAAGAATGGAGGCACGGATGGACCCGTGAGATAGGCAGCCGAGGAGCAGGCCACCGAGCAACAACATACATACATAACACACGTGCCTATATGATGGGGAAACGGATTCATTCGATCAACGACTCTATCCCAGTCCTTGGATAAAGATCTACGAGATTCTCATTCCGCCCGCTGTTTTCCAATTCACCTCGCGTCTCTGCGATTCAATGTGTTCCTTTGATTCGTCCACCAATCGTCGAGTCCAATTCATAACACCTCGCCCACGACCGCTTTTGTTGTATATACAGACGTTGGACACGTGTACATTGGAATTCTACATTGCGAGTTTAAATCGCGGGTTAATTGTTCTTCTTATTGTTAGCCAGGTCTGGCTTCTATCTCTGGAAGTTTCTTTGAACAACCACTCAACTCAAACTTTTTAACAAATCAAGGCTTACATAAGGAGCCAATTCTCAACTCTTTGATTTGCTCGTGAAAATCACAACAGAGAATTTATCTCTGAAGTAAGTAAATCGTATCAGAGCTAATTATTACAATCTACTTTCTGCAGCTTTCTTGCCTCGTATCGGTGTTGTTTGAGACTCTGGATACAGATCTCGAAGACCTCTATCATACACAGCCTCTACGATTCCTAAAAGATCAAACCTCGGCAAATACGAATTATTCTTGCCCCTAAAAGTCGACATAAAATTCTATTCTCATTTCCTCTGTTATTTTAGTTGGTTCCGCAGAATGAAATTTCCAAAGTTTAAATAAACAAAAAAAGATTCCTTTTTTTTTATAAATACGTGACGTTCACAGGAGCTTCGTTATGGGATCTAGAGACTTTCTACTTTCTCGAACGCTCGATGAGACGATCTTTCAACCAAGTAGGCGCAGTATAAAATTGACAATTTTATGCACTATCGCGAGAATGGTATACCTGTCGAGCGTAAGATAACTACCGAGGAGAAAACAATAGGATGACCTATTAATCTATTGTTAAACTAGACGAGATTTCACCCATGTTCGACTCAAGCTCGGCTTCATGCTAATCCAAGGCGATGACTGTCTCAAGCAAATATGACGATGTTGCTCGTCGGGCACAACACAATGCCAAGAACAGAGTTTGAACACGGTATCTTTTATAGACGACTGCGGGGACAACGGAGAAGAGTTACGTTTACCATCAGTTCGATTTAACTTACAATTTATTGCGGCATTTTACTAGCTAATTATTTAATCAGATTGTATCATTCGGTTGTATCAATTTTGCGACAAAAATTCAACAATGTGAAAGTCAAATGTGGAACCAGATAGAAAAATATATATACTTGGAGAGTATAAAGTAACGTGCAAATATTTTTTTCGTTATCATTGTATGCAGTATACAGAGTGTGTCTTCTATCTTGTTATCCTTGTCGGTAAAAAAAATACACGACAGGGTTATTTCGATTTATTTATTTTCAGAACGAGAAATATTGCAAATCGCGACTCATTCACCCTCGAAGCAATCTACCTTCGAACTTTCAAGACTAATATTTTTCTCAACGAAGATAAATTTCAATTTAATTGAAATGCAATGTGAAAAACGAGGAAAGACACCAGACAATATTTTCGTGTTCGTGTTTCGCTTGTCTTTCAACGAAATTGAAGTTCAAATTCCTTCAAATTTTCAGAACACAATCATCATAATAATAGAGAAAAGCCGCGATTGGTCAGAAAAAGGTACATACAGTATCTCTGAGAAAAATATTAACGAGTTTGAAATTAATCTCAAGAGAAACAGAGAATCACAAACTGCACTTTCCTTCGCGCGATTTATCTTCAAAAATACTAAATAGAATAAAATAAAATAAAATAAAATAAAATAAAATAGAACAAAATAAAATTAAACAAAATAAGAATACACTGAATAAACAGGACGCAAGACGTTGAAATTTTAGAGATTCGATTGCTGCATTTGCTGAGAAAAGCTTGAAAGCTCCAAGCTGAAAGTACCAAAGGGACGCGCGCCGTTTAAAATGGCCTGAATCGAATGGATAGGAAAAACTAATTCGTCAGAGGGTGGAAGGACGAGGCAATGGCCGAACAATGGCCCCTCTCACGCGCAGGACAATAATTACAGCCGAGGTACTTCATTACACGCTCCTGCTTGCGGATATACGAGCCGCGGGAGCGACGGGGATGTTGATTGACAACTCCCTCGGGAATATGAGATCAGATAGCAAGCGAGAGCGAGAAAGGGTCGAATGAAGAGACGGTTTCGGTGTCAAATATTGGAAGTGGCACGGATGCAGCGTCGAGTTACGAAACGTGGAAAAAAAGGGGCACGCGGAGGCATGCCCGTCGCGCTGAAATAACGAACGTAGAAAAGCAGAGAGGGATGCCAAGATGCCACTCTCGTAAATATTGGATTACTCGAATCCTTATCAAAAAGAAGAGAAAAAAAAAAATACTGCAGAATAATGGTACATGTAATGAATGTGCATGGACCTGTATCAATTAAAACGAAAATTGAAGAAGGCCGTCGTGTTGTCTCGCTGACAAAATTAATATCGGGAAAAAGGAAACGTGCGCTTGTATTTTTTTATTCTCTTTTGTTTTGTTTTTGAATGATTGAAATGCACGAATAGACTGATGGAAATTTTTATTTTTAAAAAGCAAACTTAAACAAAATGGAAATTTCTTCTTTCGTATATTCTGAATGTTTTGAATATTTGAGGCAGCAAATAATTTATTTGTTAGGATAGCAAGCAAGAAGCAAGGCTTGCGATACCTCGATGGAAAGTTTATATTTCGAAGAATTACAATGAAACGGAGCCATGTTTTTCGTATTACATGAAAAATGTAATGTAGCGTAATTATGTACGCTAGAGTCTGAATTTGCTGCAAGTTCGTAACCAGCGCGCAAAAATCCATCAGAAATGATTATTCACCGTTGAAGAAATGACAAAAAAATTGAAATTTATCGTCAACAACAACAACATTAATAAGCGTCCTTGTATTTACATCTTCACATACGTACCCTGCTTTATTTGCAAATTAAATATTCTTGCAACAGAGAACAAGATGTCATCACGTACATTTTATATCCATACTAAGCACGCGAAAGGAAAGTCAAACAACCAAGAGACGAAATAATTAAAAAGAAAAAAAGAGAAAAAGAAGAAAAAAATTTTCGCAGATTCTAACTGAAAGCCCAGAGAGAGAGAGAGAGAGAGAAACATGATACAAACGCGTGAGAAAGTTGGATGCAACTGAAAGAAAGGGTCTACGGTGTGCACGGTTTGCAGAGAAAACCGAAAAAGAGGTTAGAACATCGCACGTAGAAACCTCGTAACAGTAAAGTAACAACAACTTGTGACGTGCACTATGCATGTTGGTTGGTTGCACTCGTACGCGAAGAACACACCCGACACGAGGTTAGGTGCTCTTAAGCTAAACAATTCTCTTTTTCTTGAATCGCGCGGATGTTGAGAGCCACGAGGTCTGAGACACCACGAGGAGTCCATTTGAATCCGCACAACTGCGCATCTGGCGACAAACTCGAATCGCTTTCGAACGTGTCTCGAACCTTCGCGCTACGACTAAAGTATAAAACTTACATCTAGAGAAATTCAAATGCAAACAGTTTTTAATTCAAACCTTCGGAAATTCACCGTCGCAAATTTGATCGGATCCCGCGTAAAGAAACGACATTTATAGTCTTTTTGGGAGAGTTTTATTCTACGTGGTTGCAAGGATTACGCTACAAGATCTCTAGCTTCCCAGCACTTTTTATATTAATGTTTTTTTTTAATTCACCAACTATTGGAATTTATCCTATGAATAAGTGTTTGCATGTCAATTTTATTTTATGCCAATATTATTAGGTCATCCAACAAATCTATCAAATATTGATCGAAATATGAAATTACAATTAAGAAATATCGAAACCTTCATTCAATTGTAAAAAAGAAAAAAAAAATTACTTATATTGTGAACTCTCCCCATCTATGAATATCTGAACTATTACTTTTACGCAGCACAGAGTTCACGAGTAATTTGCATTCACGGATTAAAACCAGGCAGATTCATTGTAGATTCGAGAGTGCAGAAATGTGTCTGAAATCCGCGCGTGGAGCGAAGATATCGAATCGTCGGCAAAGGAAAACTGAAACACACGAGGCTAGTGGAGACATGTAAAACAAAGGAAGATCGAGTTGAAGGGAAACTTTAATTTCAAAACGGAGGATCACGTAGCCAGCGCAAGAGATGTCGCGTTTCCCAGAGAGTTTTCCCAGATGTTGCTCCTTTCTCTCTTGAAAGAGAGAGAGAGAGAGAGAGAGA